AGTGGGTACAGGGTTTCAGTTTAGAAAGATGAAAAAAGTTCTGGAGATGGATGGTGGTGATGGTTGCACAACAATGTGAATGTGCTCAATGTCACTGAACTGTGCACTTAAAAATGGTTAAAATGGTAACTTTTATGTTATGTATATTTTACTATACAAAATTTTTGTGGGAAACTATATTTTTTCCTTCATGGTATTTAAGAAAATACAAGTAAAGGTTTTTGTTAATTTTGAAAAACTTCATGGTAAGTGTACTAAAAACTACATGGGAGTGTGTAAGGAGAGAGAGCTTGTATGAGTGCTGGCTGTAAAGAGAACACATCATGAATTCCTGAAAATCCCTTTTTTTAGTCATAGGATGTTTAGTTGTTACTGACAAAACCAGGCCAAAAATCAAGAACTTGTATCAAAAGACCACAGAGTCAAAAGTAATAAAATGGTTTGCTTCATATTATTTTTTCCATAATATTTATTTGTTTTATTTATATAGGATTCACATACTGTAAAATTCATCCTTTTAAAGTTTACAATTCAGTGGTTTTTATTATATTCACAAAAGTTCTGCAACCACCACCATTATCTAATTCCAGAACATTTTCATCACCTCAAAAAGAAGCCATTACAGTCACTCCCCATTCCTCTCTTCCTCTAGCCCCTGACATCCACTAATCTAGTTCTGTCTACGGATTTGCCTATTCTGGACTTTTCATTTAAATAGAATTATACAATATGTGGCCTTTTGTGTTTGGCTTCTTTTACTTAGCATAATGTTTTCAAGGTTCACCCATTTTGTAGCATGTGGCAGTACTCCATTCTTTTTTATGGCTGAATAATATTCCATCAAATGGACGTACCACATTTTGCTTATCCATTCATCAGTTGATGGACATTTGGATTGTTTCCACATTTTGGTTATTGTGACTAGTGCTACTATGAATGCTGATGTACAAGTGTTTGTGTGGGCAGATGTTTTCAATTATCTTAAATATATACCAAAGAGTGGGACTTCTGGGTCATAGAGTGATATCTCTATGTTTAACTGAGGAGCTACCAGACTGCTTTCCAAGTAGCCGTACCATTTTACATTCTCACCAGCAGTGTGTGAGGGTTCCAAGGTTTCAACACTCTCACCAACATTTGGTGCTGTCTTTTTGATTACAGCCATGCTAGCGGACGTGAAGTGGTATCTCAGTGTGGTTCTAATTTGCATTTGCTGATGACTACTGATGTTGAGCATCTTTTCATGTGCTTATTGGCCATTTGTATATATTCTTTGGAAAAATGTCTATTTAAATCCTTTGCCAATTTTGTAATTGGGTTATTCGTCGGGTTGTGAGAATTCTTTATGTTAGATCCTTGACTGACATAGGATTTGCAAATATTTTGTCCCATTCTGTGGATTATCTTTTCACGCACTTGAAGGTATTCTTTGGAGACAAAAGTTTTTAATTTTAATGAAGTCCAATTTATTTTTTTCTTTTGTTACTTTTGCTTTTTGTTATGTAAACTATTGCTTAATCTGTAAATCATGAAAATTTACACCTGTGTTTTCAGTTTTATAGTTTTAGCATTTTCATTTAGGTCTTTGATTAATTTTGAATTAATTTTTGTATATAGTATGAGGTAGGGGTCTAACTACATTCCTTTGCATGTGGATATCCAGGTGTCCCAGCACCATTTGTTGAAAAGATTATTCTTTTTCTATTGAATGGTCTTGGCATCCTTATTGAAAATCAATTGACCATAAACATAAGGGTTCCTTTCTGGGCTCTCAATTCTATTCCATTGATCTATATGTCTATCTTTATGCCATGACCACTTGACTACTGTAGCTTTGTAGTAAGTTTTGAAATAGGGAAGTGTGAGTATTCCAACTTTGTTCTTTTTCAAGATTGTTTTGTCTATTTTGGGTCCCTTGAATTTTCATATGAATTTTAGGATTAGCTTGTCAATTTCTGCAAAAAAAATAAGTCAGCTGGGATTTCAATAGGTATTATGTTGAATCTGTTGATCAAATTGGGCAGTACTGTCATCTTTACAATATCAAATCTTCCAGTCACTGAACACGGGATGTCTTTCCATTTGTTTACATTTTTTAAAATCCCTTTCAACTGTGTTTTGTAGTTTTCAGTGTGTGTCTTGCATTTCTTTTGTTAAATTTATTCCTAAGTATTTTATTCTTTTGGATGCTACTGCAAATGGAATTTTTTTAAATTTTATTTTCAGATTGTTCATTCCTAAGCTTATAGAAATACAATTGATTTTTGTATACTGATCTCATATCCAGCAACCTTGCTGAACTTGTTTACTCTAATTTTTTTAGTGAATTACTTAGGATTTTCTATATAGAAGATCATGTCATTTATGAATAGAGACAGTTTTACTTCTTCCTTCCCAATCTGAATGCCTTTTATTTCTTTTTCTTGCCTAATTTCCACGGCTACAACCTCCAATACCTTGTTAAATTGAAGTGACAAGAGAGGATATCCTTGTCTTATTCCTAATCTTACGGGGAAAATAGCCAGTCTTTCATCATTAAATATAATGCAGCTGTGGGGTTTTCGTAAACACCCTTCTTCAGGTTGAAGAAGTTTCTTTCTATTCCTAGTTTGTTGAGTGTTTTTAATCATGAAAGCCTGTTGGATTTTGTCAAGTTCTTTCTCTGCATCCATTGAGATGATTAGATGGTTTAAATTAATTTTTAATTAAAGAAAATCATACTAGTTCTCTTTTTAAAAAAATTGTTCAGTATATGTAAGGCTAGGTCTCCCTACTTCTTTCCCAGCCAACCCGATGTACCCACTGTTGTCACATTGCTCTGTCTCCTTTCAGATATTTTCCTATGCATGTCTCTGTGTGTGTGGGGGTGGGTAGCTGTCAAAAATATACATGTTTTGAAAAAACATGGTAAAATATATATATTCTATTTCTTCTCCCTGAGATATCCTCTTGGTCCAAGCTGACACTCCAGTGCCCCATCTTTCTTTTAAGGCTGAGATCAAGTCCCTCTTTTCCATGGAAACTTCCAAGGTCATCCCACACATCATATATCTTTTCCTTCTAGTGACAACTTGGATCTTTTCCCCTCACTTGGCCCCCTTCGGTTATGTTCTTAGCACAGGAGATGTTTGGCTTTGAACAGCATGAACTTTCGTACAGCATACACTGACCCCCTATACATCTTTTGTACCTTGAGGAACATTTCTAGCTATTGTATAAGGATGGTGCTATAGCCACAGTTAAATCTTGAGCCACTCTGACATCTTTTATACAGCAGGGTTTGTTGGCGTGATGAGCTGAATTCCACTATCTTACAGACTATGTTTTTCATGCTGTGCCCATAACACAGGCATCCTGCGTGTGGTGAAGTGGGGGTAGGGGGGTCTTACTGCATGGGAGAATCAGTGACAGAATATCCCCTTTTATAGTTACATACTGGTTACATACCAGGATTCTGGAAGAAACAAAATCTGAAAATCACTATTTTATTGCATTCTGCTCTTTGTTTCATAAAAAGGAACAGAAAACAGAAAAGTAAAATTGCTGATTCTAGTGTAACAAGCGTAAGTCTCACAAATGAAACAGACTGATGACAAAGATGGAATTCAAGAAGCATGTGGAAGCCAGGAATCTTTCGCCTCGGTTGGCCATCACTGGACTTAAGCTAACCCGCTGGTGTTCAATTACGGAGGAAAAAGACCACATTTATAAAATATGTATAAAATGCTGAAAACCTATGTCATCAAAGATTATATCTAAATCGTGGGGTATAATAGAGAGTTTTGTAACTGGTTTTTAACTCTTTGGGAATAGTCTATTCCTTATAATGTGCAAGTCTATTATTTAGCTTTCACACTTGACTTCAACCCATGTTTTCAGGAATGTGCCATGAACAAAAAGAGTGGCATGAGGACAACACTGCCTCAGACAGTAAGCTCCTTGTAGTCAAGGACAGTCCCATTTAATGGTCACATAACAAATATTTTGCTGATTGATTAATTAATTGTATCTCATTGGAATTAATCTAACATCTCGATGGAGAACTCTTTACCAGTGTGTTCACCTCAGTCTGTTTCTCCTACACCAGCTCTGAAGAGAGCATCAGTATGGAGATCTTTGGCCTCCATGTATCTCCACTGGGATCTGTTCCTGTGGCGGTGTTTACCACCACTGATAGCAAATCTAAACTCATTCCATTGATGTCTGACCCTCACACTTGGGTGGAGCCATGCTGCTACCTAGAATGGGAGCTTTGTGTTTACCTGGAAGCTTCTTAACATTGATACTCTAATTGCCAAATAATCGGAGAGGATGTACACTTTTCAGCACAAGATACACATGCCACAGATGGATTTGGTAAGAATTTTTTAAAGTACATCCTTCCTGAAGGGCCACACGACAATATGGATCAGGAGCTTTACAAAGAAACGCACCTTTTGACCTAGAAATTCCACTTCTAGAATTCCTCCTACATAAACAACCAGACAAATGTACAGAGATGGCTGCACAAAGATTTATACTGTAGCTTTTATTATAACAATGATAAATTGGAAATAACCAATAGGAAAATGGTCAGAAAAGACAAGTTTTAAAAGAAAAGGTTACTTTCTATATGTAACTATTTATATATTATTCTATGTATTAAGATTTTTGAGGTTTGGAAAGTTTTACACCAAAATGTCAACAATGACAGAGTTATTGGTGATTCAAAATTTTTTTATTTGCTTTATCTGAATTATCTGAGTTTTCTCATTTCTTTCTGAAGTGAACACGTACTGCTCTCTGTCTGTACATAATATTATTTTTTACGCAATACAAGCCAGTCAACCCAACTTTAAAAGGTTGGATGGTACTTCAAATGACAATTGCAAAATAAGTTTTAGTAGAAATTCTAAAGCACTCTTCAGGATCTATTTTACAGGGAGTCCTGTTTCTGAGGTCTGGATATTAGATGAAGTTGAAGCAGAAGATATTATAGCTAAGGGTTTTCCCACGGGCCTCCACATCACAAAAGCTCCCCATCAGGCCACATACCGTAATTGCACATGACTCTTACCAGATAGGCTCTCCAGAAGGACTGGATGATGAGGGCTGCTTCCTCCTCCGTCAGCAGGAGGGAGAGTGGCATCGCTGGCCGTGGGCTGAAAAGCAATGAAATGGTCACAAGCCCATGAGAATCCGTCCTTCACCCTCAGCAAGGCCTTTGACAACATAATAGCCTCTCTGATTAAGTGCCTCGGCCATTCCCATTCTTAGAAAGCAACAATGTCATTTTTGATAGAAAAATTAAGCCTGAGTTAGCATGTTTTATTTTAAAATCTGGGATGGATTTTTTGTTTTTAACCAGCATAATCTTAAATCACCGTTAGCCTGCTCTGCTTTGAAGGGCTCAGGTTACTAAAGTTGCATGTTAGTCCTCAAGGTGCAACACACATGTTATTGCCATAAGGCTATATAGACATAAAGCAAGAGACAGAGAGAAGCGACCTTTATATACTGCAGTATGACAGAGATATAATAAAGGGCTCTTTTTCCAACTTTCTATTGAAGGGAAATTAACTAGTCCTTCTTTACCTGAAAGGAAAATATTGGAATTTATCTCTGTTCGGTGTGCATTCCAGTTTAACATGGTTTAAATTCAAGCATATTTTTAAGTTAAGTTCTGTTACTACATCTTAATAAGCAATAAAATATCTCAAGTGCTAGGTCAGTTGACAGTGTCTGCTCTTGTGGGATTTTTAAGATTATGATGAGATTTTTGATCATAGATACCACGTTTAAAAATCATGGCTAAAGGTTCTTTTCTTTTTTTTTTTTTCCCTAAAAGTTTTATAGAGATACTAACTGCTGACAAGATCTTACAAGTCTAACTTAATTCTGGTTCCTTATGTTTCCCCAAAGCACAGCTACCCCTGAAAAGCAAGAGTTAAGACTTTTCAGATATCAAAGAAAGAAATCTCTGAAAGGAATGTGGGTCACAAGGAGGCTGCTCCCAGGGCAGGATCCCCAGCAATGACCTTGCAAGTGAGGGACTCGCAAGTCCCGGCCACAGAGCCCTCCCTAGTGACAGCCATCATTTGGGTTTACAGTAACTTCCGCTGTGCAGATGTGGACTAACCTGCCGCAGGTCACACAGCTGGTAGGGGGCCTAATCAGGAACTGGGCCCAGACCCATCCAGTCCCAAAGCCCAGGCTTCCCTCACAACGCCGTGCTGAGAGCACATCTCAACCAGGCAAGCACGTACAGATGCCCAGCAGGGCACAGACTGCAAGGCTAAACAGCAACAATGCACGATTCTCCAGGATCTGGGGTTTTATCTCCCAAACTTTGACTTAACAACAACAAACTTCCCTGGATATGTACAATTGTGTGAATGAATGAATGCTCTTTTGAATTACTCCAGAATAAAGAAATCAAAGCTGGGAAGAACCTTAAAGGTCACTGAGATCATTTCTAGCAAGCAAAGTGTTCCCAAGCTCTGGTTCTCAGGCTGGGCCAGTCCTTTCTAAGAGACCAAGTAAAGGAGATTCTTCTGTTTGTTTGGAGACATAATTACACCCTTAAAATGACAGCATTGTTAGAGACCTTTCCCTAATGTTCTGTTTCCATTTTTATTTGCATGATGTGGTGGCTTTTTTTTTTGGTTCTGTTTTTGTTTTCACTTCTTGCCTAATATCCGGTTTTCTGGGCTGTAATGGAACATTCGTATTTTGCTGGAGGCCTGCCACCGGAGGCACATCGGCTCTCACTTTCCACATTAGATGTCTCTCCTCATCCATCGTCCTTATTCTCTAAATCACAGTTGTGTGACACCAACAAATCACATCCCTGAAGTAATTCTCCTTCACGAGTTAAGAGTCAACAGCTTCTAGAGAGACCTTGGCGCTTCTAAGGAGACCCTGGAAAGCTGGCAGTGAGTTTATGAGAATAACACTATCGTGCGTTCAAACTAGCTGATATTTACCGAGAGCTTTCCGGACTCCCCTTCCACCAGCCTCACTCCTTGTGCTCCGGCCATGCAGGCCCTTTTCATCTCCTCAAGTGTGCCCTCCCACCTCAAGGTCTTTGCAGAGTAGCTTTCTCTGCCTGTAACAGCCTCCTGCCCCCAGCCAGGGGCACTGCATATGGCTGTGCAAGCTGCTGCTTACGGGCACCCAGCAGATAGGCCAGAGGGCGCTGAGACCCCACCCACCTCTGCTTGCTAAGCCGTGCTCATGGGCGTGGGGCCGCATCTGCCCTAGTGTGGGGGTGCCTTTTCCTAATTTGCTCAAAGGCACCTTAGGGTTGGGGGAGGCTGACACCTCTTTCTCCTGATTCACTCTTGTTCTTTCTTCCCATTTCCACTCAAGTGTTAGGGAAAGATGTCCTGTGATTAGGTCAGGGCCCAGTGGAGCTCTGTGTAATTTTCCTCCCTAGTCCTTGGCCCAATTTGGAGACACCAACCCGTGTGATTCTCAAATTAATGCCCAAATCCTCCACTGGACTGAACACTCCAGAGCGCAGAGACCAGGCCTATGTTTGCTGTTCCCGGCACTTAGGACAACATCTGGCTCGTAGCAGACACTCAATAAACATTTGTGGCATCAGCCTCTGTGCCTGGCACAGGGCACTAAGCACTTTCCACACATTATTTCATTAAACCCCACAACATTAACAATTAGCTGTTGTTATCCTTCTTTTAGAGCTGAAGAAACTGAGGCAGAGAGGGGTGAAGTGACTTGATCGAGGTCACTGCCCATTTCCTGCTGAGATTGCAAACTGGCCAGGAGACAGAGGGAGTGGCCAAGGAAAAGAGAAGGGCAGCCCACAAGGTCACTAACATGGAATCCAGGGTCTAGCAGCTGCAAGTGTGAAACAGAAGAAAACACAGTCGTTTGCCTAGAAGAAAAAAATGAGAGGGAGAAAAGCCATGATCACAGAAAATGCCCTCTTCATTAATGCTTACAGTAATAACTCAGCAGGTATGCCTTTGTCTGAAGCTCCACGGGGATATCCTGTGTCAGGACAGCAGAACAAAGTGGAGTTTGTCACTTGGATCTGAGGGGAGGTTTGATGGCACTGTTCTGCTCAGTTGCAATTTTCCTGCTTTAATGTTTTTCTCAACTGATGTCATGAAATCCTCAGAGTAACAGTATTCCCAGTTTGGAATAGCAGTAGGAAAGGAAACTGCAAATCTGGGGACACAACAAGCCCGGCCATCTCGACAAAGGGCTTTTACCAGTAATGAAATCCCGAACCACTTTGCATCACAATGACATCTCCAAAAAGTGAAATGAGATTTCTAATAGGTCTTTAAGCAGTAAGATGAGACCACCTTGAGTGACATCCCTGCGTTCATGGCTAAATAATGGGGCGCTGTCTCCTGCCCAAAGCAAGAATAAGTATGAGAAAGCCAGCGTAAATCAGGCCAAATGAAAAGGACTTAATCTTCAGGGCGTAGCGCCTGGGAATTATCAATCATTTCAGCAGGCCCGCCTGAAGGGACGGAAGCCAGGCCAGGCCCTTTTCTCTCTTTTGGAATCAGTGCCACTGGCTTCAGGTCAAATAAAAATAGAGATGGAGTGGAGGCAACAGCCCATCATCAGGGAGCCAGGGAGGGGAGGGGAGAGGAGCATGTCAATCACAGGAGAAGGCAGCTGTGGCTCCCTCTGCAAGGGCTTAAACTGGACATCCTCAGAGCAGACGGGTTTACATATTCTAACCGGCAAAACAGTGCTGCTAAGTACGTTTCCAAGAACTGTCTTATTGGTAATGCTCGTTTGTCATGTCCTTCTCCTTTCTCCTCAAATGTGAATTAAATATATTTGAATGGTAAGAACCCATGCTAGAATTCTGAAAAGGAACAAGAATTTATTTTTCTGATTGTGTGTATGTTTATATGTATAACACACACACACACACAACACACAATTCTTTCCCCTTTTTTGGATGCTAAGTAAAAGATTTGCAGGACCTAAAGAAGATATAGCGTGCTTACAAAATACATAAGAGAATCTGAGAAGTTAGTCTGTATTAATTTCTCCATCCAGTTCTAAGACAACAGGTACTGTCCAAAGTGGCATTTAAGCAGAATAAAGCAGAAAGGAGGAAAGCTTGCTTTATATTGAAAATTGAATCTTGGAATCCAAATTCTACCCACTTTTCATTAGGTAAGAGATTAAGTTGTTTTCTTGGAACATGAGCACAACCCAGGCGCAAAGCCATTTACAAAATGACACAGGCCCTAAATCAGCCATCATTCATAGAGCCTTTTAAGAACCCAGTATTTGATATAGTCTACCCATTGTATTCAGCAAAAGAGATTACCCAGTCCCTACCCTCAGCCTTCACTGGTTTCCCAAACATTCTGCGTTGGAGGCATCACAGCCTTGAGTAATGAACTTCGAATATTTGGAAAAAGTACATCTCTGGAATCTTCCAGACATGTGGTGACTAGCCCTCAGCACAGAATCTCATAGGATTCTTTCAATTCCAGCCCTCTGTGAGGTGAGGACTAGCTCCCGAAACCAGGAGGGGAGAGGCGGCTGCATTACTCTCAAGCAGCCTCACAGCTCATTTAGAAATCACAGTTAGTAGGAGGTGATCTTGCTTTCGCCCCCTCACGAACTCCACCCTGCGAGACCGACAAGCAGTTATTACCCCAGCATCAGGCTGAATCATTCTCCTAAGCTAAACACAGGGTCGAGGCCCATCTTACCAACCCCGTCATTGGAAGCTACATATGGGTCCAGTGAACAGCGCTCACGAAACCACACGCTGCCAGACCACGTGCTCGCCCTTGGGCTGCAGGTGTAACTATCTCAAAAATCATGGCTGTGCTACTTGGTGCTTTCTGAGAAATACGCCCGGACTGCTATTATTTAGTCTCTCTGTAACTGGTTACATGTTTTCTCTAATAACAACTTAAGGAGACCTGCCTCCCCACAAGTCTCCCTCCTCCTGCTCCAAATAGCGAGCAAGGCAAGGGGGACGGGTGCACCGGAAGAGCAGACCACCTCCCTCCTCACCAGGAGGGGAGGCGCCTCACACCCCTTCCCACCCCTGCAGGGATCTTCACTTGTTTTGAGCCATGGACCTCTTTCCACTTCGGCAGTTTGGATTCCTTCTCAGAATAATGTTTTTAAAAACATAAAAGTAAAT